CGTGTAGGGGCAAGGTCGAACTATACCGATTACAAAGCGATCATGGTATAGGGGAAAGGTCGAGCTATACCGATTACAAAGCGATCACGATATAGGGGCAAGGTCGAGCTATACCGATTACAAAGCGACCAATTTGAGTAAAGTACGAAGTCCGGAACTTAGTTCCTAACCGAGTACTATACTTCCTTGTTTAAGTGGAAAAGTCTGAGAAATCATTATCGTGTTGTGGATTGATATCCAAATTTGTTGTTTACCTAGCAAGCCCAAAAAGGTTATGTGTTGTCGGTTCGGTAGGACCAAGCCACTTAGACTACTCACCACGTTGTAGGAGATCTCCGAGTTGAAATGTGTGACGACGCATAAGTTGTTAATGAGTTGATTTGTATTTGATATGAGTTGTACATATGTTGTTGTGTTGTTAAGTTGTGATTGTGTTGTAGGTTGACCCTGTTGAGGATGATGATAGTGCTGTTATGTTTTAAGTTGCTTAGTTGTATACAAGTTGATGATGATGCTAGTGTCGCTAGCTTACCTGTGCTGTAAGTTGTTTTAAACATGTGTTGTTGAGAGGTGTGTAGTACATGTGTTGGTTTTTGTTATGATGAATATGATAACTATTCCAATGGTTTGTACAGTAGTTGCGTTGAAGTGTTGATATAACGTTGATATGTGGAATCAAGTTAAAATGATGTTAAGATGTATAATATATATGTTGTTTGTCTTATGTGTCGAATGCGAAGATGATTATATAGTTGTTGTATTGCATATTAAATTATTATGAGTTGTTTATTGTCTCTAGCTTACCCTTGCATGTTTCCATGTGGTTTGGACTGTGATGATCATACGTTGTATGGGAGCAGGGTAAGGATAGGCTGGGAGATAGCTGCTAGAAGTCATAAGAGGTGCCTGGAAATGGATATTTTTTTGTAGGCTACCTTATAATAGTATATTTTGTTATATATATAACTAGTTGTTGTTGGTTGCTTGATTAACAACCTATGTTGTAAATATTTTATTATATTATTCTAGTATATATTTTTTAGTAGTGTGTAGTGTTGTTTCGTAGTGTTATAGCTTTGAAGATTTCTTCACTCTGCAGGTGTTGTAGCTTTGACCATGGCAGGAGAAAAATTTGAGAAGAAAACGTCAAATGACATGACGTTTTTATGATGTATAATGTCATACAAAAAACATTAAATGGGATGACGTTTTTCATTTTCTCTCCCTCCATGTATAAAACGTTATATCGGGTAACTTTTTTTTTTCATCTTCGCCATCTTATGTGATCAAAATAATTTATTTTAGAAAATAGTTTTTTATTTAATTTATTTCAATAAATTTTTATTTTTTATTATTTATTGTGGCCAAAAGGCCAATAAAAAAAGGTTAATAATATATTACTTAGAATTCAAACTTTTTAAGATTTTTTAATTAATTTTTTAACTTAAAAAAATTGTAAATAGGTTCTTTCATCTATTTAATTTTCTAAATTTAGTTCCTCAAGTTAGAAATTTGTTTATGATTTATAAAAGTTTATGAAACATTCTTAATACATATGGATAATGTCGTTGAAAAATAATTTAACAGTTCAGATATGCGGATATTAAAAAAAATTGTGAAATTTTATTGATTATAGATAAACTTCTAACAATAGGAACTGAATTACAAAAATATAAAATAAAATAATAATTAAGGACTTAATTACAAATTTTTAATTTAGAAAACTAATTTAAAATTTAAAAAAATTTAGACCAAATAATTTATTAAATCTTAAAAAAAACTACCAATAATGAATCACTAAACTTTAACATTCTCAAAAAATCAATTCAATTATAAATAAATTATTAAAATTAAAAGGTCAAATTTTAAATATACTTAAAAATAATAAAGACAATACACCTTTTAATAACCATCTTCTATGTTTGCTTTTATATAAACATTTTTCTTCCTATTTAGAACTAATTCTAGTGTAGACCAATATTATAAGTGGTGGATGATGCACTACTTTTAATCATTTCAGATTTATCTTATCTATACAAATTTATAGAGCAATCTTTGTATCAAATTATTTCCCCCCTCTTTCTTCTCTCTCCATGATGTTCTCCTTTTTCCCACCTATCTCCAGTCTCCACTGCACAAATGAGATAAAATGAAGAGTTTTTTTTTTTTTTTTCCAACATTAACATGTAAGTTAGCCATTAAAGGGTCCCATTTTGCACAAAAAGTAGATTGCAAGTGGAAAAGCCATTTTCAACCAAACATAAATAACAATAAAAAAACAACTAACAGCAATTTCACTAACTCTCCACCATAATGTGATTCGTAAAATGTTAGCATTCATGTCTGGTGTATATATTATATAACCGTTAATCAAATGATTTTTTAAAAAAAATTCTAAATCTCCACTAACTGTTCCCTTGATTTACATCTCAAACACTTGAGAGTCATCAAAACATTTCAGCGATAAGATCTCAAATTTCTCATTTCTGTCAATTGTAAAGAACAAAACATGATTATAAAGAAGATTTGGTACTTTATTATCAATAGGGTTTGGAATAATTGAAAATAGCTTAGTAATTTGAACATATCTAGGAGCAAAATTGGTTTTGGAAGTGGCATTGTTGTACATATCTCTACCTAAGTCTTCTATTTAACCTAACTCATAGGTCTAGTAAGATTCTCTTTATGTGGTGGTGTGATGGAAATGGGTCGAGAAGAGAGAACAGTGGAGAGAGAAAGGTAGAAAAGAAAAGTAAAATTGGAAAAATAACAATAAATTTGGTACAAAGGGTGCACCATAAATCTATATAAATGAGATAAATCAAAGGTGGTTAAAAGTTGAACACGGTATACTACCTACAAAATTGGTGGACCCTAAAATTCGTCTCTATTTATTATCCACTTTCTCGTCCAATTTTATCTCTTCAACCGCTCAAAATTGATGGATTCTACCATGAATCGTAGTTTTGGTGATTTATTGATGCACTTTTAATATTTACGGGTGAACTATTAATTGAATACCTTTAAGTTAATAAAATTTAAATCAACAAACTAGATTTAACAATTTTTATTTAATATCTAAATTAATTTATTAAATCAAATATTTGTTTTAATCCTTATTCACAATACCATAGTCACTACTTTTTTATCGAACTTGGATTGTAATTTTTGCACAAGTTTTCATCATATTTCATAATTATGTTAAAGATTTAGACGAAAAAAAATGTTTTAAACTAATTAATTTTGTTTTGTTACAATCTTGTGTTGTGGATTTGAAATTCTTTTTTACCACAAAGTTTCATATTCAAAGCAAAAGTAGCAAAAGTCAGAAAGATTTGAAACCCCTTTTTATGCATACAAATACCATGGAGTAGTAAAATCTGATTTAGCAAGGATAATTGCAGTACTATGAGCTAATGGAGATTAAGATTTCGGTAAAGATAGTGACATGGAGAGATTATGTATACATGGGGGATAGGTGCCTAGTGGTTTCTGCATAGGAAGAGAAAACGAAAAAGAGATTTGAGAATAATAATGAAAACAAAGAGGTAAAAAAAGCATAAAGGGTATAAATGTTAGTATCATTTTTTATTTTTTTTTTAAATTAAAAAGTGTACCGTCCAGGTCGTAATCCGACATGATCTTCCTATCGGCAATAGGGCGATCACAACCTCCTACTCGGTCCTAGCTCGATTCCTCTCGCCTATAAGGGGGCTACTCGGCATTCCTGAACAAGCTAGGAGCGGCATTCGCCCGACTGAAACCCCAGTATGGACCTAGTCGGTCAGAACCCGACTCGACTCGCTAGTTCGATTCCACTCGCCTATAAGGGGGCTACTCGGCGTTTACCCGATTGAACCATCAGTATGGACCTAGTCGGTCAGAACCCGACTCGACTTGCCCTCACTCACCCCGCGCCCTCGTGATAAGAACGGTTAAGGAAATCCCTTCATTCTCAGGGCCCAAGAGGCCCATGAATGAGATACCATAAAACCCAAAACGCTAGAGTTGAGAAAGGCAGATTACACTTTTGAATGCTCTGGCTCTAAGGCTTAACCTAGGAAGAAACCCTAGTTCACCTTTTGGTCGGAACATTTTGGCGACCACCGTAGGGCTACGGTAAAACTTTTCCCACACCCCAAGTCATATAGAAGAACTAGCACTTTACCATGGCGAGAGGCGGCAATAACAACAATGACTCACAGCTCCCTTCCATGGAGGAGATGATGGCCATGATCAATGGCTTACGGGCGGAGAATGCGCGCTCCAGGGAGAGAGAGGAGGCCATTCAACGCGAAAACGAGGAGATCAGGAGGTGCGCGGACGAGATGCAGGCCAGAATCGCGGCCAGTACCAGGACGCTGGAGGAAGACGTCATGATGGAAGTCCCTAGGGATTTTCGACCTTTCTCGGAAGCCATAGAGGCCGAGATCATCCCTAGGGATCATCGGATACCCCAAGTCGAACCTTTTGATGGAACACAAGATCCCAGCCAGCACTTGACGGATTTCTGAGCCTAGATGTTGATTTGCGAAGGGAGCATGGAAGTCCGCTGCAAATTATTCATGGGCACACTCAAAAAGGCAGCCCTCGATTGATTTAGTGGTCTCCCTGATCGATCAATCACCGACTTCGATGTCTTCAGTCGGCTCTTCATGGCACAATTCGCCGCCAACAAGAAGAAACCGCCGATCACGTCGGACCTATTCGACCTCAAGCAGCAGCGCGAGGAGTCTCTGAAGGACTTCCTGCAAAGGTTCAACGAGGTCGCCTTGAGGATAGCGTCGTTGGACGAAAGGATGGCCGTCATTGCATTCCAGAAGGGCTTGAGGTCTGGAGCTTTCGACATCGCGTTGGAAAGAACAAATTGCCAGACGATGTCAGAGGTGAGAGCCTTCGCACTGAGCCACATTAAGACGGAGGAAGGACAGATTAGCAAACGAGCAGCGGAAAGCCGAGAAGCGGGGGGCAGCAATAAGGAGGGAAATAAGCATCTTCGACCGCGAACGGATTGGAGTAAACGATGTGACCGTTACAACATGAAGGAGGGCAATTACCGACAGGCCGATCATGGTGGTCGGACAAGGGGCGAGTGGACACGCAACAATGATGAAGAGAAGTTTACTCCACTCAATGTTCCCAGGCGAAAGATACTTCACGATGTCAACAACGCATCGTTGTTTGAATTTCCAGCGGCGACGGAACGACAATTGGGGCCCTTTAAAACTGATTGGTGCGAGTTCCATAGAGCTCATGGACACTCCACTGAAAATTGCTTCGTCCTAGGGAGGGAGATTGAGCGTTTGATCAAAGAGGGGCGACTGAAAAAGTTCGTGGCAAGAAAGCAAGAGGAAAGCTCCTCGGAGAGGCGACGAAAACACATTAAAGGTGGATCAAGGAGAGAACGCTACGAAGAAAGATCTCCTCCCAGGGACACGCCAACGAAGGTGTCGGGAACCCACCAGCAACCCATCCACGGGGATTTCAATACCATCGCAGGGGGTTTCGCCGGCGGGGGAGCTACCTCAGCCTGAGATTTTGTTCTCAAACTCGGATTATGAAGGAGTAGCCCCTCACGAGAACGACCCCGTCGTCTTATCGGCAATTGTTATGGGGTACAATGTGAAGCGTGTGTTGATCGACCAGGGAAGTTCCGCGGACATCTTATTCTGGGAAGCTTTTGAGGGGATGAAAATACCTGACGACCGACTCATTCCTTATGCAGGGACTCTAGTGGGTTTTGCAGGAGACCAGGTCATCGCGAGGGGATACGCCGATATGGAGATGACCTTTGGCCAAGGAGCTCAGATGAAAACGGTGGTCGTTCGGTATTTGGTGGTCAACGCTCAGTCATCCTACAGCATCCTGATCGGCAGACCGACCCTGAACAAGCTAGGAGCGGTAGTGTCCACTTCCCATCTGAAGGTAAAGTATCTGTTGCCGAACGGTGTTGTGGGGGTTCTTAGAGTTGACCAGGAGGTTGCTCGGAAGTGCTACGGGGATAGTTTAAAGGCGCGAAGGCGACTGTATACGGCGCAGGTAGAGAAGGAAGTCCACTCCGTCGATTTAGACCCCAGAATAAGCCATTTCGATCGTCAACCAGCCCCTGCCGAGAACGTTAAAGAAGTGACGATGACGGAAGGAAGGAAAGTAAAGATTGGTACATCCCTGAGCCCGGAGGACGCAGAGAAACTGATAGAGGTATTAAAAGCGAACATGTCAGCATTCGCATGGCACGCCAAAGACATGCCTGGGGTAGACCCCGACTTCATGTGCCACAGGTTGGCCATAGACCCAGGCGCGAAACCGGTGATCCAGAAAAGGAGGAAATTCGGGGAGGAAAAATGAAAAGCCATCGCCGAAGAAACAAACAAGTTGTTAATGGCAGGACACGTACGAGAAATACAATACCCGACCTGGCTCGCAAATGTGGTAATGGTACGTAAAAGTAATGGAAAGTGGAGAATGTGCACAGATTTCACTGATTTAAATAAAGCGTGCCCAAAGGATTCGTACCCTTTGCCGAATATAGATTGCCTGGTTGATGGCGCGTCGGGGTATGAATTTCTAAGTTTCGTGGATGCGTATTCGGGTTACAATCAGATCCGAATGCACTCGGCAGACGAGGACAAAACCGCGTACATCGTCGATCAAGCCAATTACTGCTACAAGGTCATGCCCTTTGGTTTGAAGAATGCAGGCGCAACGTATCAGCGTTTGATGGACAAAGTGTTGGTGAACTAGATGGGTAGGAACGTTGAAGCTTACGTGGATGACATGGTGGTAAAATCAATGAGTCTGAATCGGCATGTAGACGACCTGCAAGAATTATTTGAGACCATAGGCAAGTATCAGCTCAAGTTCAACCCCGAAAAATGTTCTTTTGGGGTCCAAGCGGGAAAGTTTCTTGGTTTCCTGCTAACTCATCGTGGCATTGAAGCAAATCCTGAGAAGTTCTCGGCGATCATCAACATGAGGAGTCCAGCAACGGTGAAGGAGGTGCAACAACTTGCAGGACGAATGGCATCTTTGTCGCGCTTTCTTTCAAAGGCAGCCGACAAAGCCCTCCCGCTTTTTCAATGCTTAAGGAAGAATGATCATTTTACTTAGACGACCGAGTGCGAGGAGGCTTTGCTGGAGCTGAAGAAGTCGCTCGCATCCCCACCGATCTTGACGAAACCATGGCCGAGTATCCCTTTGCTAGTTTACATATCGGCGTCCGACCGAGCTGTCAGTGCAGTTTTGGTCAAAGAGCAGGAAGGCTCTCAAGTTCCTATGTATTTTGTGAGTCGGGTCTTATAGGGAGCAGAAGCGAGGTATCAGAAGATCGAGAAATTGGCTCTTGCAATACTGGTTACAGCGTAGAAGTTGAGACACTATTTCCAGAGTTATGAGGTGGTAGTCCGAACTGATCATCTGATTAGGCAAGTATTACAGAAGCCCGACCTGGCAAGAAGGATGATGAAATGGTCTGTAGAGCTATCAGAGTATTCCATCAAGTATGAGCCGAGAGGAGCAATCAAAGCTCAAACGCTAGCTGATTTCGTGATGGAACTGACCTCACCTGCCGATGAGGGCAGTGTCGGAGAGACGCAGTGGATCCTATCAGTGGATGGAGCCTCGAATCTTAGAGGAAGTGGAGCAGGGATCGTTTTGGAAGGACCAGGAGGAATTTTGTTGGAACGGTCATTACGTTTCAAATTCTGAGCAAGCAACAACCAGGCCGAATACGAAGCATTGTTGGCCGGCATGGCGTTGGCAAAGGAAATGGGGGCGACGAGTTTATCAGCGCGAAGTGACTCTCAACTGATCACGGGGCAGTTAGCTGGCACTTTCCAGGCAAAGGACCCTCAGTTGGCTAAGTACCTGGAAAAGGTAAAGCTCTTATCAGAAAATTTTCGAGAATTTACACTTAACCACATACCACGAGAGGAAAATTCGAGGGCCGATCTACTCTCCAAGCTTGCAAGCACAAAGAAGCCAGGAGCCACTCGGTCGGTCATCCAAGAAACCCTAGCGCAACCAAGTATTAATGAGCCACAGGGGAGTGTTCTTTTCATCCAAGAAGAGCTCGATTCATGGACGGGACCGTACATCGCATACTTGACTCGGGGGGAGTTGCTAGAGGATAAGAAGGAGGCGTCACTGATATAGAGAGAGTCACCCAGGTTCGTAGTCATCAACGAGAGATTGTATCGAAGGGGTTTCAGCTCTCCCCTTTTGAGATGTTTGACCACATCGCAGGCACAGAGAGTGATGGATGAAATACATGGCGGCATGTGTGGAAGTCATATCGGAGGACGAGCACTAGTATACAAAGTTGCGAGGGCATGGTACTTTTGGCCGACCTTGAGAAACGACTGCGTCAATTGGGTTCAAAAATGTGACGGATGTCAAAGACACGCAACGTTTCATCACTCTCCAGCCGAACGACTCCATTCAATCTTGTCTCCTTGGCCATTCAACAAGTGGGGTATAGATATTCTCGGCCCATTCCCGATCGCGGTGAGACAGTTGAAGTTCTTAATTGTGGCCGTAGACTACTTCAGCAAGTGGATTGAGGCGGAGCCTGTAGCAACCATTTCGGCCGAGAAGGTAAGGACATTTTTATGGAGGAATGTGGTATGCAGATATGGTGTCCCCCAAGTACTGGTATCGGATAACGGGACGCAATTCGCGAGTGGACGAGTTCGTGATTTCTGTCGGGAGATCGGCATCCGAATGACTTTCACTTCCGTTGAACACCCCCAGTCTAATGGTCAAGCGGAGTCGGCCAACAAGGTTATACTCTTGGGTTTGAAAAAGCGTGTCCAGGACTCAGGCGCTTCGTGGGTGGAGGAGCTTCCCCGAGTGTTATGGTCATACCACACAACTGTTCATTCGTCGACCCAGGACACTCCTTTCAATCTAGTGTATGGAACAGACGCCATGATCCCGATCGAAATTGAAGAACCCTCAGTACGTACTACAGCTTTTTCTGAGGAGGAATCCGACCAGGGAAGACGAGTTGATTTGGATCTGGTCACAGAAACAATGGAGAGAGCAAGGATAAATCAAGTAGCAGCCCAGAGAAGAGCGGCTTTCAAGTACAATACAAAGGTTGTCCCAAGAGACTTTGTTGTAGGAGACCTCGTTTTGAAGCGCGCTCAGCTAACTCAGATGAGGAACAAGTTGTCACCTAAATGGGTCGGCCCTTATAAAATTGAAGATTTCGTCGGCAAAGGAGCTTACCGACTGAGGACCTTGGATGGAGGGATGATACCGAGAATGTGGAATGCTGCAAATATACGCTTCTATTATAGCTAGTCTCTTTTTCCATTTGTATTAGGTGCACTCTTTTCCTAACTCAGTATTTTTTCCCCGTAAAAATAAGGGGGGTTTTTGCTGAGAAGGTTTTTAACGAGGCACCACTTTTTCAATTCTAATAAATATCATCCCATTGTTTTATCTCATGACTTCTAACATGTATTGTTTTAAAGGGGACAAAAACTCGTGATTGATCGGTAAAAATCCGACTGGGCGAGTATAAATAACTCGAAGACCAAACTCGTGATTGATCGGTAAAAATCCGACTGGGCGAGTATAAATAACTCGAAGACCAAAACTCGTGATTGATCGGTAAAAATCTGACTGGGCGAGTATAAATAACTCGAAGACCAAACTCGTGATTGATTGGTAAAAATCTGACTGGGCGAGTATAAATAACTCGAAGACCAAACTCGTGATTGATCGGTAAAAATCCGACTGGGCGAGTATAAATAACTCGAAGACAAAACTCGTGATTGATCGGTAAAAATCCGACTGGACGAGTATAAATAACTCGAAGACCAAAACTCGTGATTGATCGGTAAAAGTCCGACTGAACGAGTATAAATAACTCGAAGACCAAAACTCGTGATTGATTGAAAAAAATCTGACTGGGCGAGTATAAATAACTCGAAGACCAAACTTGTGATTGATTAGTAAAAATCTGACTGGGCGAGTATAAATAACTCGAAGACAAAACTCGTGATTGATCGGTAAAAATCTGACTGGACGAGTATAAATAACTCGAAGACCAAACTCGTGATTGATCGGTAAAAATCTGAGTAGGCGAGTATAAATAACTCGAAGACCAAACTCGTGAATGATCGGTAAAAATCCGACTGGGCGAGTATAAATAACTCGAAGACCAAACTCGTGATTGATCGGTAAAAATCCGACTAGGCGAGTATAAATAACTCGAAGACCAAACTTGTGATTAATCAGAATTTGGCCGACTAGTTTGGTAAAAATTCATTAGAAAATTTTCCATTCAAAATTCAAATCGGAGCTTAGGCGATTCGACTTGTTAAAGTCCATTTTACTTAGAAAATTTTTTCACCCGTTATGTGATTCGGAATTTGGCCGACTAGTTTGGAAAAAATTCATTAGAAAATTTTCCATTCAAAATTCAAATCGGAGCTTAGGCGATTCGACTTGTTAAAGTCCATTTTACTTAGAAATAATTTTCACACATTATTCGATTCAGAATTTGGGCGACCACGTGGTTAAA